CCCTCTTCTGAGGCATCGTTGCGTCTTCCTATAAACTGCACATCTGCATGCCACAGTGAAATGCTATATATCAGTAGCCTATTTATATGATATGCTAGTAATTAGTTCATATTAAAAAAACCACCTAGTTACCCAGGAGGAAGTGACGGAACGGAGTCTCGAACCCGAGCTCTCCAGGCGGGAAGCATGCGCTCTACCATCTTAGCCACTGAGAACTTCCAACACTGCATGCTATCATCTACTGTGAATTTGTGAAATCAGAAAGTACCTGTAGCTAATATCACACTGTTGGCAGCTCTGCTTGATTTTAAGAACACGCCTATTCCAATTATACACAGGAAAAACTTGGCTTGCAGCTAACTGAACAATAAGACCATTTCTTGGACACTGAGCCTGAAAAAGTCTTGTTTTGACCATTTTGAGACCTATATTTTTTAGTAAAGTTGTGGAATAGGATTAAAGAGACTTTCTTTATTAAACCTAAAAATATCAGGCATACCAGCAAAAATACTTTATTTTTCAATATTTGAAAATTCGAGTATGCAAATCTGAAGTAAATAGTAGCGCGGTCGCTGAGGCTTCGTCTGTTTTCTTAAACTATTCTCGTAGCGCTCCCGTGCGACTTGATTTTGAAAAGTTTTCTTAAGGAGGTTTGGCAGTATCATTCAGCATTCAGAGAGGCGAGGATCAGGGAGTCTCTCCTGCCTGCGCATCTGGGCCCCCTTTAAAACGCACCTCCTCTTGCACTCTACAAACTTGAGACTGTACGACTGTAACTACTTATATTTTTGAAAAATGCCTGGCAAGGCTTGATTTTTTTTGTCGAGCATCTTTTTTTGTACCAAGGTATCGATGAAAACGTTTTTTTTTATCCCGACACACTTAGAATATACCTTAGTTTTAGTTAAATGGTTAATCTAACCTTGCTCTCTCATAAGTGACCGTCTTAAACTGTTACTATTTCATAATTTTTTTCTCGAAAATTTCCCGTGGTGAATAATCTGAAAAAATTCATGTGCTATCCTAACGTGCTTTAATATAACATACATTTTTTTGGCTCATTTCTCCATTTTTTAATCCAAATCTACTGTGAGATTGGGAGTTGGAGCCACAGGTGGATGATGTGACACATAGGCTGGATATTGACGCAGGTCACAAGAGTGGGTAGGTGCAGGAGCTGGAGTTGGCGTGGGCACTGGAGATACAGGTGGTGATTGCGGTCGCTCGTCTGAACTTTCCGAGGAGACAAGTGCAGAAGCTTGAGTCTGCCAACAATTTTGTTTGTTATCGAAGTTGATTGATGGACTCAAAGCTCGTTGAAATTTTTCCATAGAATCACGGAAAAATTATTTCCTTTTCCATCGTTTCTTTACGTGTACGAGTTTTCAAAAAAAAAGAAAAAATTGTTTGATTTCTAGATTTTGGCAACAAACGTTAACTGCGCACGAGAAGAAACTCAAAATCTCAATTTAGGACAGTTGTTTCATTTTTAATAAATCAAACATACATCCAATCGCTATGAAGTTCGAACAGACTGTGAAAGTTATTTTAGAGAATAAATAAACGTTTGCTTCTTTTAGTTTCTTATTGATTAAAATTACTAAGCAAAGCAATTTGCCAGTACTAGATCGTTACATGGCTACTACCCACAAAAAGGAAGCTCATTCTCCTCTGGCTCCGTTTTTCTTCTGTTCCTCTGGTGACATAGGACAAGCGGCCTTAGGTGTTATTGATCACTTCCGATCACCTTCTTACCGATCGCCAGGCATGCAAAGCCTTCACAGTGACAACATTTTTCCCACCATGGTGGAGCACTCAAAAATTAAATTGATAAAGCAAACTTATTTACAAATAATTATAATTTTTTAATTGAAACAAGACATTTTTATTATTGAACTTAACAAAGTAGTAGAAACATGCTGTTTAATACACTTTTATTTAAGTGCAACTTTTTGAACGGAATGATAAAAATATAAAAGTATTTGTGTTGCTTACTTCAGAATTAATAATAAGTGCAGAAATCCCTATTTATTTCTTATCACATCAACAAAAGCACACACATCTGCTTGTAGAAGTAAAAAAAATTTATTTTTGTTAAATTGTTTAAAGTTTGTCTTATAGCATCATAAGATATTTTGATGTTGTATGAATTGGTTATATTAAATTTGTATTTGATTTCAACTATAGAGCAAAAAGGAATCCAGTATACAATTTGAAGTTTTTTTCTCATCAATAGGTCTAGTTAAAGCAGGTTAAACTTTTAATGAGTTATGATTATATGATAAGTTTAAAAAATAGGTTTTTTCAAAATAAACTTTTTTTTAATCTATAGTAATGTAACCGTTACATAGTTTTCATTTTAAACATAATAGAGAATTTTTAAATAAATATAAACTAGGTCATGCTATACGCAAGTTGAAGCAGACAGTGCATGTGACCTTACTATACTATAATAAAGTATGCTTCTAAATTTGGCCCTCTGATTTCCAAAATTAGAGAACAAATATTTTACATCACTGTAATCTTGGTATTTTGTAATAATTAGACCTTATTAGCTGTAAACTACAACTTAAAAAAAAAAATCCTGACAAGAAAATACTTTTAATATAGTGGTCAAGGGATATTTAAATATAATATGCTTATTTTCAATATTCTCTAGAGTTTCACTCTGACTGGCAGAAACTTTTCAACCTTGAAGTTAGCTGCAAGCAAATAAGCATGGTAGCAGACAAAACATATAAAGGGAGAAAAAGAAACAGGCTAAAATCAACTATTAAATCTCGAACTCGACTTAGTGCTGCTTGCTTTACATGCATAATTGCTGTGTGCATAGTGTCTACTGTAGAGTGTATATAACTGTGTATGTATGCAAGTATATATCCATACATGTATGAATGTGTGAGTTACTTGTATATTATGTAAGTATGTATGTGTGTGTGCGCACATGCGTGTGTGTACTGTGTAACGTTGAATTTTCAGCCTCGAATCGAAGTTTTCACGTCGACGCGAAGCCGTCCCGATACAACGCACTAAAACACCTTCGATCACATACGACACATAAAACGACTAACCTCTGCGACCAAATATTCTCTCGAACGCCTTGGCTAGGCTCAGCTGTGCTCTCTCGATGTAGACTTCTTACCGAGAGGAGGCCCTGCCGCGGACTGTCCGTCGGGAGGTGGACAGTTCCCAAGGAAAATGATCAGGATGTGAATATCTCACACTCGTACAAATAAATACACTAACACGAATTTTACTTTTAGACTACTCTTTATTTAATTTACAAGAGATGAACACTTCTAGAGAATCAACGCTACCTCCGGCGCTAACTCGCAATTCGCAGTACACACACACATCTTTGCTCTTATACCCCGCATCCGAACACCTACCTACACCTACACGTATACGCACACACCCAAAGTTCCCGCACTCGACCTAGAGAATGGCTCGTTTTGAGGTTACGACAACCCGGTTCGATCACGAGAGCACTTGGCTATAACGAAATGCCTTCGATCACGAGCTACCTCACGCATCAACCTGATGACGAGGACATACACCACGCATCCTCTCTTAGTTCGCAGGGTGTCCTACCAGTGGCTTCACCAGCTGGCTTACTGAGTCTCAGACAACGCTGCAAATACTCACACACATACACGAACTCTACGACGTCCTACTGCAATGGTCAGCCGGCCCCTAGCCGACTGCTGAGACTTGGACAACACTTCACTTCGAATACCCACACGCATTACGTCCTACCGCAGCGGATAGTTGACCTCTCGCCGACTCCCAAGACTCAGACAACGCTTCGCTTTGAATACACACGCGTGTTACGCCCTACCGCAGCGGACAGTCGACCTCTCGCCGACTACCGAGAGTCAGACAACGCTTCGCTTTGGATACACACACACACTCTCACACGCAGTGCTACAGTTTCCCGTCATCTCGAATGTACTGACTTACCCACGATTCAACGATCACGCCCACCAAGCTCTCTTCCCCGACCCGAACGTCTTCCTCTCAAACCAACGAATTCTCGCTCTTTCACTCTTATAGAAACCTCGACCCCCCGTTTACACTTCTTACTTTTCTCCACAAGCCCAACGAAATCCCTAGTATCTTCAACCACACACATTCATCCATACGCTCGCTTTTTACCCTTACCCTTGAAACATCCTACACTCGCACAACCTCACCTCGGCGCCACATATTATGTCCCTCTCCCTCACTTTCCCACTAGTCGCTACCCTTACCACACACTGCGCGAAATACCTCGAGACCACCATCTCCAGGAAGTTGTCGGCGTCGTGTCCTCGCGTGGTCGCCCACTGCCATCCTGCTCCTCGTAGATCACCAAGAGCTGGTGATGGACGTAGGTTGGACAATGTCTCGATGGCGCACACGCTCTACATCCTTCCCTCTCGAAGGCCCGTGAAAGAGTCATCTCAGTCTCGCTGCTTGCGTCCAACTGCCTCGAAATCTCTTCTATTTTTTTCTTTCCCCTACTTCTCTCATATGACTCAGCTCGCACACGTCTCACTTTTCCCCTTAACTACACGTATATACACAAACTCCCTATGTTTCCGGCGCATTACAATTTTACAAAAGACACATACAAAATACAAGCAACAATTACAATAATCTCTACAGTTCGTCAACCCATCTATTTTTCTACCAACCAACCGATTCACACTAAAATGTACACACACACACACACATATATCTCTGCGCACACAGAACTAACGTTAACATCACTTATGGTCCCTTAATTGCACATTTCTTCCTATTATTCCCGCTTTTTCTGTTCACGCTTATCTTTGCTTGTCTCACTGGCTATATATCTCCGTCATCCTCTCCTTTTTCCTTGCATGAAACATAACGAAACACAAACATGCATATACAGGGCATTAAAACGAGCCTAAAACCTCAAATTTTACATCGAGTAAAGTTTTGGTGTTTTTCGGGCTAATATGAAAAATGATTCCGTCATAACTGTCAACTTGTCTTATTTTAAACAGCCTTTACTACACGTCTTACTATGTACATGTGCTCACATGTAAAAATTTAATACTCACATAGACTAGTTAATGTTATTATTTTAATGAAGTAAGCTGCCAGAAACAAAATTTATGCATGATAGATGAATGTAGACTGCTAATGTTAATTTAACGCGTTTTCAAAATGTGACAAAATGTTTGAATATTAAAAAAATACGCTGTATCTTGAAAAGGTTACAAGATCAAAAAAAAAAAAAAATTTTCACGGAATTATAAATTGGAAAAAATCATGGCACTTAAAAAAAAAGGTATTTGGTTATGGAAAAACATTAACTTCATTCGAAATGCTTTGGTAAACCTTCATGAAATAAAGAGGAGATATTTGGGAAAAAATTATATCATAATTTGTACAGAATTCTTCTAATGCAGAAATTATTTTCGATGGTCATGTGTTCACATCAACACTAAAAACTGGGAATGCACGCTGCATTTTGAAAAAAAGCTAGGAACACCAAAAACTGTGATATTGACGCGTTTTCTATGGGGGAAAAATTTACTACGCACGATAAGATAGGTGTTCAATTATGTAAGAATGTAATTTGAAAACTCAGTCTATTAAATATTTGTCTACGAAGTCAAGGTGGAAGATTAAAAAAAAATTATAGCATATTTCCGAAATTATTAGAAATAAGTAGAATATTTATTTAATTTTTTCACCCGAACATAATCTTGACTATTTGTAAAACATAAAATTGCACAGTAAAAATTAATAGACTACTTAAATATAACAATTTTAATATGTGCACTCATATGTGAAGTTTTAATGAGAAACGTTATTTTAAAAAGTAGAATGTCAATGTACTGAGCACAATACTAGACCTTTATGGCCAGAAAAAAAATATCCACTTTCTAGATACATACTTTATTCAAGTATTTATAAACATCGATAACTTATAGCTCTAAATATTTTTATTTACAAACTTACGCTGTTTCAGTTGGTTCGTACATATTGAGATTATTTTTGGAACTCTCTCATCGACGCTTGGTCACATGTGATGCATCCTGTTTTCTTATATTAGATTTCTAATAGTATGTTTCAATTGATTTAATATAACTTGCTTCCCTTTTCTTCTTTTTCATACATACTCAAAAAATTTTGTAACAAACGCAGGCTCTTATTGCTTCAATAGTGGTAGGCAATATTACTTTTACACGTTTTCTAAAGACTTGCCAGGTACTTATTATTTTACCAAAAGTCCACTCAACTATCTGCCTTGCTCTGGATTACATGTAGTTGAAAATATTCTTCTTTAAATCCAACTGCAACCGTCTTGGATAGGGAGTCAACATGTAATAGCTTAAACCAAATACTTTATTTTCCAAAAACCCATACGGCAGCTATGAACCATCTGGTACCATTGGCTCTGGTAATGGGATGTTAAATTTTTTTTACTGATCATATTTCCCGTTGTGCTGTTACAGAATATGCCACCATTACTTTGCTGATCTACAGCTCCAACTTTTACAGCAATAAACTTCTTGTAAGCATCAACGTAAGGTTGCAAATGGATACTGTGATGTCCCTTGTGGACATAAAAATAGGAACTGCTGTGTGCTGGTGCCTGAAAAAAAATTTAACTATGCTTGTCCAAATAATATATGAAGTTGTTATACATTTAAATATATCTACCTCCATTGTAATTAATTTTTCTGTCTACACTCCTGAAACAATGTAAAAAATTCTATTAGAATTCAAATCCTTTGAAAATCTTTCTCCAATCATTTTGGGTTGGAATTAATATAAAAACAATTAGAATAAAAAATTACATATTTCTTTACAGACCTTTTTAATTTTTTTAGATACTGATGTTGGAATTACTCTTAATAATAAAGAAAAAAAAAAATTACGCAATCACCACTTGCAAGATATCTTAAAGTCAGTTAGAGAAAAATTGTATTGTATATTGGAGCTCTAACACAAAAGTTTGTTAATAATTCTACGTTCAACTAATGACAATTATTAATCAAAAGCCTCTGGTCACATTTCTAAAACAGTTTACGAATTCTTATCTGTCATAAAGCCTAAGAGTCAAGACAAGATTATCACTAGCGCCTTGAGACACTCTATTTACTTCTTTTAAAAACTCAGACGCCCACACCCACTTTACTCAATAAGTCCTACTTTTTAGCAATGCTCGATAAATCAAATACATTTTTTAAACTTTATTTTCTAATACTTTTTTATAAGACATGTCACTTCGTCTTCTATTCAGTCAAATGATGGTTAAATTTTTGAGATTAGAAGATGTATTTGGCATCGTTTTTGTTTGCACTACTTTCATTAGCAGTATAAGAACTGTTTTTTTTTTTTTTATGATAATTGTCTTAATAGTATCTCTGTAAGCAATATGCCACAGGTTTTAGATCTAAATTATTGTGCCAACAGAGTTTTGGCTAGCAGTCTCCACACTGCAAGACGCCCATGTACAGGCACCCTAAGAATTACAGAGAAATGGAAAGAGTTCTCTTTTATTTTGTTAAGGGAGATGTTGGGGAGCTATGAGGGAAGTAAAAGGCGCTAGAAAATAGAATAACTATAACATTTTCTAAAAATATTCTGAGCTTTTGTAGGGTCATTTAATTTCCAAATGGTGATCGTGGGGGATAGTGGTGGGCTGAAGGTTACCTTTTTTTGCTAGGCTTATTTTACAGAGAAATGAAGAGAATTTTCCCTTGTTTTGTGGGTGGTTAGAGGGGCTGTGGGAGACTATAAGGGTATATGGGGATGTTTGAACATATCCACCAATGTAACTTTACAATGTTGGGAGATAAATGTATCATCCTATACTATACAGTTATTCCAAGAATTTTGAGCCTCTAACCCCCTCCAACCCCTTGAATCCCTCTTTAACACTTACTCATCTCCCTTAAAATACCTTGTTATTCGTTTGATCTCTTGCTGTTTGTTATATTTCATTAAATCTCCTTCCATCCCCCTCAATCTCTCTCCAATCGTCACACATCTCCCACCGATCCCTATCTATGCCTCTCCATCACCCACCCATTTCTCGCAATTTTAACCGTTTTGCGGTGAAGGATTTTCCCCAAAGTTGATTCGACTATCTTTGAATGTCCTAAATTTTTCGGTCTTTCAAAATTTTTTTACTTTAAAAACCCTTTTTAAATTATGTACAAATTTATTTAATTTTACATCTACTGTAAATTTTCATGCGTCTACTCATCGATTTCTTGTGCTGCTGCACAATCAATACTGTAGTAGGATGTAGTAGTCTCTTTCATACTGTTTAATTTTTTATTCTGGAATGATCAAGCATAATAGTTACGCGATTCTCAATAACACAGTTTATAAAAAAAAATTCTCTTATCAAAAGTTTAACTGCAAAAGTCTTTCATTTTTCATTTATAAGGTATTGTAAACGAACTAACTTTACTGTCTCCTATGTCGAATAAGAATGAAGAAAACTTTTTATTCAGGGATCTTAAATTTTTTTTTTGTTGAAAAATATAAAAAAGTTTTCGTAGATAAAAGTACTTTACTGTTTTTCCTATAATAGCTGATTTACAATTATTTTTTAAAACCGGTGAAACTTGTGTGTGATCTCCGCCAAATATTATTGTTTTTTTACCAACATGTAAGATATTATTACGAAAATCTTTGAACGTTCAATTCAATATTTTAAAAGCTTTCATTGATATTATTAACGCTTTATTCCATATTATAATATCTTTTTCTCCTTTTTTTTGTCGGATTCCTGTTTTAAAAATAATGATTTAATTTTATTTTCATCTAAAGGTAGTCTAAGAATTCTTGAACTTGTCATACCTCAATATAACAAAATAAAAGCAATTCCTTACTTACCCCCATAGTTTGGAAAAAAAATCCCAGAGGCCCCCACCGACCACCTCAATTTTCCAAAAAACAGACAAGGTCTTTATTTTATTAAACCTCTCAATGCCCTTAAACATGACCTCCCTCTCTTTAAATATGATCCCGTCTAGTTGGCAGTGGTTAAAAAATGGCTGAGAATTTTATCTGTGCCATGGAAACTCTAAAATGACGAATCAACACACACTCGATATTAGTGATTATTTGCTGGAGGGCGGGTTCATTGCCTATTGTAGAAGAGCGAGGTCACTGGGTTTGCTAATTCAAGAAAAAAAAACTTAAAGTAGCTTTTACTCAAATTTAAATAGAGTGTTAATCTCTAAATCCTTGCCACGTATACAGCGATTATTTTTTATTTTTACTTTTTCAATTTTTCCTTTGGTAATTCTTTTTTTTTCTTAGTCAACTTATTTATATCTCTTTGGGCAAAGATAAAATTCTTATACGTTAAAACTTACTTTTATCTTATGTAACTCAATTTCCTATCTACTTGGAAACTCAGAAATAGGTAAACCAATAAAAGTTTTTAATTAATTTAATAGTAGAATAAATAACAAAATTACTTAGAATTAAATTTCTAAATTAACTTTAAGTAATACTAGGACTCGCAATCACCTATACAGGGGTCACTTTAAGTAAACAAGTACACTTAGTATTTGTTTCTTAAATTTACGCAATTTTATTTTAATAAAGAAATTGTATTTTTAACTACTGTATCGCTCACTTATGATAATGAAGATAATTAGTGCAATTCTAAATTAGCGAACAATTTCATCTAGTTTTTTTTCAAAAGACCTACATTTTGCACTTGGATACAAAAATGAAAGTGTGTATCAAATTTTTATTTTTACTTTAAACTATAAACAAAAAAATTTTTAATTTTCCCACTTATAAATTGGCTTCTATAGATACATGGTTAAGCTAGGGTGAAGTATTAGGGCAGTCACAAAGAGTTAGTCATAGATTTAATGCCTATTCTGAAAAGTCACTTAGGGCTAGGTCGTTCTTGGGGCCCTTGGGTGCCTTGAGCACACTCTATAGTAATCTAGCCAGCTAATTTGCCCAAGAAGCGTCATTACTATCTCTAGAATCTCTACTATTTGATCGCTCTATTTCTCGGCTCGTGGGCGCCGTGATTAGTACTGGTGCATGGAAGAGTTTCAGGTCTGGGTAGGCAGCGGATCTCCGCATCCCCAGTTTGCTGGAGGAGGATCATATTTCCTGGCGTGTCAGTGCCTTTTGTTGCTGACTCGCATATAATTCGCCACTCTAATATGCACTATCTCTCTGCGCACTAACGATTTTACACATTCGCCGATAATCTGTGCTCATATCTTATATAGCTTCCTGCGCGTAATTGACAGCACGCGTTACATCTTTTGCACTGACTTGTTAAATTGAAACGTGTCAAATTTAGTGTACTTTTATTTATTATTTTATAGAAAAATGGAACAAATAAAAGAATATAAATTGGAATAAAAAGTGTCCACTATTGATTTTTAGGGGAAAAAAATGCCCTTTTGCAACATAGTAGGTATGAGCTTTCGTAAAAAAATTTGTAACGTTTCTTCGTTATCTAAAATAAAATGTTCCAGTACAATCTACATAAACAGTAGCTTAGTAACTATTTACATCACCTATGCTGTATTGCTAATGGCTTGCTGGTGACTTGTTATTAGATTTTTAATAAGTATGTTAATCATATTATTGAGAAAGTATAATTCTACAAAATGATAAAATTATGCAATAAGTATTTAATTAACCATTTGGATATCTAAATCCTGGTTTTCGCTATCAGTTTCTTTTTTTTTTCACGAAAAGGCAATTTAAATAATTTAGTAGATTTTACTAAATTATTTCGTTTCTTTTATATTTATCGAGAAGTTCAGTCACTTAATAAATAGTACCATGTACTGAACCAAAACGATTGTCATAAACTACTAATTTATGATTTACATCAACAATAAAATACAACTTGGTATTTTTCAGCAAAAACTCCTTATTTGTATACTTGGCCATATTTCAGCTCATCATAGAAAGCTTTTCAAGACTCTCATTTTTTTACGCAAAAACCTCGCGCACTGTAGACCAACAGTTTTATTTTATACACAAGGCATCTTCTAAATAATGGAGAGAATTTTCTCAATTACTGTACTAGTAGGTAGACTGTTCACACCGAAGAAATAACAGGTTTTTGCGTTAAAAAAGTGAGAGTCTTGAAAAGGTCTCTATGGTGAGTCAAAATGTTGACAAGTATGTAAATAAAAAAGCTTTGCTCAAGAAAACCAAGAAGTGTTTAATTGTTAATGTAAGCCCTAAACGATGTTCAAGTTATCAAAAAATGAGCAAGTGAAAGTTCTAAGGGCGTTACTTTTTCCAACTACTTAACTATGAGTTTAAAATTCTTATTTCGGAAAAGAAGTTTTTTGTTTTACATTTCAATCTTACTTTTATTATTAGTAAAACTTAAAGATAAACAATTCAGTAACATTTTCTTATTAAATACAATTTTATTATATGAAAAGAAAATTATTGTGCCAAATCGATATTTTTGATATCTAATTTATCATTACGATCAATTTATATGAATAATCCATTGTTTACTTTTGCATTCAAATAAAGCAACATATAATAGACTAAGTGAGCATATTTTTTACTCAAATATAAATTATTTTTGTCAAAACTCTGGCCTTAAGATTTAATAACTTATTATGAACAGTTATTGAAAATACTAATACTACAGAGAATTGCATGTGGTACAAAACAAAGCTGCAATGCTATATTTAAAT